TCCCTGCAGCCCCAGCTGTCCTGGAACTCACTATGTAGACCAGGCTGGCCCTGAACTCACAGAGATCAGCCCGCCTCTGCCTCCCAAGTGCTGGGATCAAAGGCGTGCACCACCACGCCCGGCAAAATATTTTTTTAAAAAGATTCATTTTTTTATATATATTATTTAGTACGCATGTATCTAAGTGCACCCATATCATGTAAGAAGAGGATGTCGAATTCCCCTAGAATTAGTTACGGACGGTTGTCAGTCTCAGTGTGGATGCTTGGAATTGAACCTGAGTCTTCTGAAAGAGCAGCTGGTGCTCTTAACCACCAAGTCATCTCTCCAGCCCCAGCTCATGAGTCTTCAGTCCCCATGCCGTTCCCAGAGCTCAGGACCTTAGAACTAGAAATTGGATCTGCCCCCACTGAGGGGGAGCTCCAGAACCTGTGGTGGGAGAAGAAAACTGACTCCCTAAAGCTGTCCTATGACCTCCATCCAGTGTGGATCAGCAACAACAAACACCTTTCCCTGGCTCCCTTGGTAACTGCTCTTGGGTGTTTTGGATGTTGGCATCCCCTGTACATACAGGTGATGAGTCTCTGCTCTGCCATTATCTCCAACCTGCTACGAGAGACTCAAGGAGTGTATCCAAAACTGAGTTCGTCCATACTGGGCACTCCATGTGAACCACCTGTCCCTCTAGAGCCTGGCACACGAATGATGCTCAGAACTATCTGTCAAATGAACATACAGAATAAACCCCAGAGCATGTCTTAAAATACGGGGTTAGTGAAAAGCCGCCCATCCTCCATCATCTACCCATCTATAATCAATCCATCCATCCACCACCCATCAATCAACCCATCCATATACACACTTGCATCTAGTAAGTCTGCCAAATCCTGGGTCCTGTATGGCCACAAGGGTAAACCTCACAGTTCCATTTTCAGAAGAACAGTCTGGTGGGGAGTCAGATACTAAATAACCATCCTTAGTTGGTTTCCGTTCTGAGTGCATCTAGTACAAGACTGGAGGTGAAGGCTTCCACGGGGAGGGAACATATGACTCAGGCAAGGAAGTGAGCGCAGGGCATTCTGGGAGATAGGTGATGAGTCCAAAGCTCCAGTCTGAACTTGCTGTGCCAAAACACCTGGCAGCAGCATGGCCTGGGTGGGATCAGGACTCAAAGAGACACAGACGCAGAGGGAGGCAGAGGCAGCCGCCTCTCCTGCCCACCCTCAGCTCTCACCGTATATTGTCTTCTCAACCAGCCTCCCGTCTTCACAGAAGTCATCTGTGGCTTTGCCCAGCAGGCCACGCACTGTGTAATCCTGTGAGGACAGGGCAGAATTGATCCATCAGTGTCTCCACTCTAAGCTCTCCTGCTGCGGAGGTATGAGGCAGATGCTAGGTGGGGTTTCAGGGACCTTCAAGCACAGCCTGCCTGCTGCCTTCTTGCCCCGGGGAAGGCGCTGGCTGTGCTTTGGGGCTTGGAGCAGCTCGCTGTGCTCAGTTCTCTGGGCACAGCGCCAGGGGCGGTCTCCCAGCACTGTTTCGCCACCCACCTGCAGCCACCCAGACAAACCAGACAGAGTGTCACACCTGCCCTGTCATCTTCTCTCCAGCCTCTGCATCGTAGGCGTCAATGCTCATGTCAAGACCTGTGCCTCACTGCTCACAGGAACTCTCTTGAACTCTGTGCAAACAACTGCCTCTTCCACAAGTGATGGCAGTGATGAGAATAGAGATGGGATGACAGTGGCAGAGACTCAGAACATACTGCGTGCCAGGGACTGAGTCAAGACCTGAATCACCACCTGAAATCTCCTTGCCTCTCAAAGCAATTGTGAGGGGAATCTCTCTTCATTCCCACTTCACACTGAGGAAACTGAGGCACACAGGTATTAAGTGATCCACCTAAGGACAGACCTGGCTGGCAGAGGGGTAGAAGATGGATTGGGGGGTGCTGGTATGAAACTGAAACTTGTGCACACTGGGCAAGCATCTCACTACATTGCACCCCTGGCTCTGAACCCTGATTTTGAACTGGAGCCACGTGGGCCCAGGATCTGCAGCTCAATACTAAAGATGTGGTTCTCTCATGTGTCCCCTGCAGATTCATGGTACCACAGTCCATGGCTCCACTGTGGAGGGGAAGCTCGAGGACTGGATTGGTGACACTCATGTCTTAGCCCTGCAGCGAGAACCCAACAGTGCTAGGATTAGGCTGTGGTAACAGACAGACCCAAGTTCAAATTCTAGCTCCTAAGGCCTTAAACATTCTGTGACCTGAGCACCCGTTCTCTGAGCCTCAGTCTGTTCAACTATAGAATGGGAGAACAGGGAAGTGGGGGGCAGGGCTTCCATAAATGAATCCATGCACAGAGATCCGCAGTGGTCAATACAGGACAATGCTGGTGGGTCCCACCGTATCACTAGCCTTTCCTAGTACAGGGTGATAAAAAATGGTTGCTGAGGGCCTGGGTCCCTATGCAACCACCAGTTCTAGAATCCTGACTAGATTGTATCAATAACCCCCAGCGAAAAAAAAAAAAGGGATAAACAGCCTGTCCTCGTACCCCCAGACCCCCATACCTTGGTGAGGTGGGCATGGTACATGTAGGTAAGGAGTCTGCATCCATGTCCCACGCCGAGCACTGAAAGGCAGACAGACCCCACCTTAAACCTGGAGTCCCTCTCCCATTCCCTTGGGAACTCCTCCCCTCCACAACACTCTTCTTCTGGACAGGAACAAGGAGGGAGGAGTAAATACTTCTGAGTAAATACTGACACACAGATTTCCAGAGCTCTCCCCTAACGGTGGGAAAGGGGCCCTTAGGAAGCTCCCAGGGGATTCTGAAACAGACAAAAGACATCACAGCACTGCCCCAATTCTACAAAACCGCAATTAAATCCGGGGTATAGAGTGGAGCATGGTGGCACACACCTGTAATCCCAGAACTTGGGAGTCTAAGGCGAAGGATCTTTAGTTCTAGGCCAGCCTTGGCTATACAGTGAGATCTTGTCTCAAGATTTAATATAATTAAATCCAGCTTCAAGTGACACATGCCTATAAACCCAGCAAGTGGGAGGTATGGGAAAATCAGAAGTTCAAGGTCATCTACAGCAAGTTGGAAACCACCCTGGGCTTACTGAGATCCTGTCTCCAAAAACAAAAACGGCTAGAGACACACCTCAGAGGTGAAGAGCACTGGCTGCTCTTGCAGAGGACTCAGGTTCAGTTCCCAGCACCCATATGGCAGCTAACAATTGTCTGCAACTCCAGTTCCAGGGGCTCCAATGCCGTTTTCTAGCCTCTTGGGCATTGTATACATATAGTGCATTTACATACAATGTAGGCAAAGCACTCATAAAATTAAAAATCTGGGTTTCCTGATTATAACCTTTAACTTCTTCAACTTCTTCAGGCCTCAGGTTCTAAATCAGTAAAATGGGTAAAAATACTGTCTAAGGCCTGTGTGTGTCGTCCAGATGGGAGGAGGCTATGTACAGGAAGCAGACGGCACAAAGGAAGGACCGACAAACAGTAGCCACAGGGTCGCTTCCTGCCTACTCCCTCTTCTGTCTCTCTGCCTAGAGGAAAGAAGGGCCCTCCGTTCTGTTCACTGTTGGAGAGGGGAACAGAGAGGGAACATGAGATCATGTCTGACCGTCAGGAAGACAAGAGGACCCGTGGGGACTGGACAACTGTGGCTGCCACGTGACCCTGGGGACACAGATGGTTTGTGACTCAGGGCTTTGTTTGTGTGTCTAGTTCCGACAATACCCAGACCCTGGCCAGACGGACTCACATGCCTAGCTGCCCGTAATGGTGGTCTCTCTTAGGATTATGGGCATTCGCTGGCCAGGCCAGGTCACCCCAGTTCAAGGTTTACAATCTTCACCCATAAAAGCAACACAACATCTGTTGTCACAGGTGTGGCAAATAAAATGTTCACAAAGGGCCTCAAACCACATGATATACAGAAACTCCTCCATAGAGGAGACCCCTATGACCCTTTCCTGCCCATGAATAATCTTCCCAGGCAATGAGAGACATAGGGCAGAAATCATGGAAAAGGGCAGTACTGAGAGCTAAGAAGTAAGCTGGGCTCCTGGTCACTCCCTAATCGTTTCCCAACCCAAACTCATGGCACTGCACCCCCAGGCTGAGCATCACCTACCAAGCACCCCGGAAGCCTGGACGTCCAGCCGATGTCCCACACCAATCTTCAAGCTGGTGAATGCTGGGCCACGCACTGGAAAGAAAGAACAAATTTATGCCTTCAACTGATGGAGCCCAAGAATGACTCTGGGCATCCAATGAGGACTTCATTGCTAGAATAGAGCTCCATGGGGCCCAAATTAGGTAGGATAGGCTAGATTCTCAGCCTTCCACACCATGAGAGCTGGGACCAGAACAATTTCCCTAGTTCTCTGAGCCCAGAGAGTCCTCTTCTGCAAATCATCTTTCTCCCAGTGATTTCAAAGGGACCATACATAACACTGGTGATCAACACTGTGGGATTTTCTGCCCAGCTCCTGCTGACAGAGATCCTGCCCATTTTCCTAGTAAGAAAACAAAGACTGTGAGCTCTCTAAGGCAAGACTTGGGTCTGTTCAAAGTTCCATCTTGTGGGCCCAGACTCAGCTGCCCAGAAAAGAACTATTGAAAGAATCAATACAGGGGCTGTAGAGATGGCTGACTGCTCTTGCAGAAGACCTGGGTTCGATTCCCAGTACCCACATGGTCGCTAACAACTGTCTATAATTCCAGTTCCGGGGAATCCTACACCCTCTTCTGACCTCCGAAGACACTGCATGACATGGGTACACTAAAAGCATGCAGGTAAGGCCGGGCGTGGTGGCACACGCCTTTAATCCCAGCACTCAGGAGGCAG